CTGCTCCTCTGATGCTGCCTGACCTGCTGTGTTCCTCCAGCTCCACACTGTGTTATCTCTGGCTCCAGCATTGGCAATTCTTACTAGATCTTAGTGAACCAGAGGGGTTTTTACACCAATCAATGATGGTTGTCATTGTTACCATTAGGGGTCAGAGGTCGGGGGTTGGCGGGAAGCAGCAGCCCTGAACCAACCCAATGCTTTGAGGAAGAAAGTGGAAGAGGGGGCTGGAAGTTGTTGAGAATATTTTTACTAAAAATATTGGGGAATCTCACAAGCCCCACTGAACATAATACCCCGCTGAACCAGTATTGTCACTAGACAGCTAACAGGTTCAAATCCACCCCAGTAGCTGGTGGAATTGAATTCAATCATTACATCCGGAATTGGAAGCTGGTCTCAGTAATTGTGGCCATAATAATCATCGATTGTTACTGAAAATCCATCTGGTTCACCAATGTCCGCTAAGGAAGGAAATCTGCTGTCCTTACCCAATCTGGCCTACATGTGACTCACAGCAATGTAGCCGTCTCTGTACTGCCCTCAGAAAGCGAGGCACTCAGCTTGAGGGTAATTAGGGGCGGGTAACAAAATGCTGACGATGCCCACATCCCGCAAAAGTGTAAAAAAAAGGTAATAAACTAAGCCACTCAATTGCATTGTTGGATCTTGCTGTGCCTTAGTTTTGCTCGTGGTCTATCGGCAGGTGACTAGGATGTGGCGTATAAAGGCATGTTCTCTCTTCAATTACTGGAGAGCGCACAGTTTGTCCAACTCTGTCTGAGCGGGAGGAAGCATAAACTCCACAAGTCATGATCCCTTAACCAACGTGGGACCTCAATAACTTCTCTTGTCCCCTTACACTTCCTGGCCTTTCGTTGCCTGTGGGAATGCAACATTCTGATATTGCTTAAAGTGTATTCCATTAGAAGTGGCTCATTATTAGGATAAAGCTGAGACCGGACTGCCCTGGGGAAACAGCCTGACATTTCGGGAGACCCAAATGGCTGGTTTTCCAAACTGAACTCCTGCTATGAAAAGTCCCCAGAACTGCTTGAAAACAAAATAATGTTGCGTCAACAGTTTCCAACAATCTGTTGCTGAGGGGTGCTCTCTAAAATCATAGTCAGACAGCAAACCCCTTTGACTGGCAATGAACACTGTTTGGCCCACAGTTCCTCACCAAACATGGGCAGAATAAAGTCAGAGGCTTGAGCCTGTAGCACAGACAGATTCTCTGGTGCAGCGCTGCAGGAGTGCTGCATTGTCAGAGGCACTTTGATCTGGAAGAAAGGCTAACTCTCTCGGCTGGATTGGAAAGAACCCGCAGCACTATTTGAAAGAGGAAATGAAAGCTGGATGGGGGGAGCGACCAGCATCGTTAAAGACAACAAATTATCTGTTTGTGAGCACATAATGTGGGACCTTGCATTGTGCACAAACTAGTGGCCGTGTCTCCTACATTGCAAACCGCCAACTCTGCTTCAAAAGTAAACCCTTCATTGGCTGCAAAGCGCATTGGGTGGTCCTGAGGTCACAAAAGGTGCTATACAAATGCAAGTTATTTTTGCCTGCAGTCTAGAACACAGGCAGAGAGGCTGAGGGGAAACTCTGAAGCAAATTCAACCCCATTCTGAATTTTCCCTTCTCTGTCGAACCGCACCTGTGGGAAGCAGGGCTGCTTAAGACCTGAGTTCTGAGGAAGGGTCACCAGACCCGAAACGTTAACTCTGTTTTTTGCCTTCACGGATGCTGCCAGACCTGCTGAGCTTTTCCAGCAACTTTGTTTTTGTTCCTGATTTACAGCATCTGCAGTTCTTTCGGTTTTTATCTGCTTAAGACCTGTTTAGTGTTTGCAAATCCCATTAAAGCTCTTGTAAAAGTAAATTACAGCAGATGCTGGAATCTGAACTGAAAACAAAAATTGCTGGAGATCACAGCGGATCCATGGATGCTACCTAACCTGCTGTGATCTACCAGCAATTTTTCTTTTTGTTTTCAGTCCTTTAAAACTCTGCTATCACTTGTAAGTTTCCTTTTTCTGCCCCAGAACTCAGTCTGAGGATGGAGGTTGAACCCAGAGTGGCTGTTGCTCACCTAACTGGCCTGCATGTTTTCATAAACACTCCACCTTGAGAAACAGAGGTAGACAAGGGAGGGAGAATTTGCAAAATTGTATAAAACCAGGCAGTGTTTGGTTCCACACATTCTCACTGAGACATCAGAGGGCCACATCCAAGTGTGCAAAACCCTGGGTGAACAGGTGCTGGATAGCACAGTCCCAAAAGCAGTCCTACAGCTTGCAGTAAAGCAGCCAAGAAAGCTGGGAAGGGAGGAAAGGCTACTTCACACACAACCCAACTCCCAGAAACGATGCAATTCAAAGGTGAAAGCATTTAGACCAAACCAAACCATCTGTGAACAGCGAACTGTTGCCTGCTACCAGATGAAAGCTACATTTCATCGAGCACGGGGAACAACCCAGCCCACACAAATTTAAGAATCCAGACATATAAAATGTCGTTTGGTACATTTATAATCCCAACTTTACAAACTGCCTCGCCGTACCTGAGTCTTGGCTGACTGAAGGAACGGGAGACGAACTGACCCTTTGTCTGTCACACAAAGTTACTTTTCCTTCATAACATTCCTGGGAGATGTAATGGATGGTGTCCTCCGTTTCCAGTGCATGTTTCCAGCAGACCAGGTCCTTCTGAACACGACTCTGTCCCTACGAAAGGTGGGAGTCTCTCAAACTGAGGTTGGGACCCACAGAAGGGGGATGACAGGCCGACTCACGTTTCGCTATAAAATCTTTATAACTCGTGACTCCGCCAGGGATCAGTTTCAGAATCAAGCAACTTGAAAGGGGGGACATCAAATAGCAAGATTTTTCTTTTTGTTTTCTTTAAATAAAAGGAGGGCCATGGTGAAAAATAATCATTGACTAGTGGATAAAATAGCTACCCACCCCCCCATTACTAAGTCTTCATTAATAAAAAAATCAAAATCAGATTTTAACCAATATTATTTCAGACAACAAAACTTTTCTATTTTTTGTTTGGAAAATAGGTTTGATGTGATTGAGACAAATTCATTGTGCATAGATTCTTTCTCATTTAAGTTGGGAGGCTTCTTTTTAGAAAGGATATATATTATGGATGAGCTTTACATTTTTTTTTAATTGAACGAGAGGTTGGGAAAGGGGAAGAGAGAACTATAGGGAGACAGCAGTATCAGTGAGGTTTATAAAATGTGTGCCTGTGAATATAGACTATGTGACCCAGAGCTGGGATAATGTATAATGCAGAGCCATTAAAAAGCTCTCATATATTAAGAGGTTCCATCCAACGATTCTGCAAGTATTGATGCCCTTGGTAACAACCCCGTGTTGCTGTTTCTTTTTGCAAAAAGGAAAACGCAATTAAATTAATGCAGTCATCCCTTATTCATAAAGTTATCAGTTTTCAGTGTCATTAAGGGACAAGGCAGACAGAGGCAGTCAGTCAGTTCATGTGTGTTTATGTATTATTAAAATCACTCACACACACACACACACACATTAATTCTTACCGTCTGGGAGTTTTTCTGATAGCAAATCAGGCTTGGCTTTTTGATGTGTATATCTAGATAGAAAACACAGACTCGCTTTAGCGCCGAGTTCCCTCGGAGTCCTCAAACGAGTCGATTAGAATCGATCCGATTGCTCTGTCAGTCCCGTGGGGTGAAGAGGCCGAGGTGTCCTCCTGCCTGTGCCATGTCCAGGGGTGCTGAGTCGAGTCGAGTCTGGTAGAAATGCTGAGGACCCCAGGCACCAATGCATCCTTTACACAGAGAGAGAGAGACACACACACCAAGAGCCCTCAACTCTGTACGTTCTGCACTGGAGGAGAACCAGCGACTTGTGTGTGTGGGGTTTTGTTTTAGTTGTGAAAGTGGCGCACATGGATGGGGTGGTCTCCTTTCCCCTCACAACATCTTCTCACAAATCCAACACATCTTCCCTCCCCCCCACCCCCCCCCAACTCCCCAAAACAAAATTGCAACTCAAATAAAAGAGGGTAGCAAAGCGGGAGAAAGTGAGAGTCTCTTTCAGCTGGTGACGTGTCTCCCAAATCCGCGCCCCTTTCAAAACCAAGGGGGAAGAAAAATTTCACTTAATTCCATTTGATTCCCATTATTTGCAGGGACACTGGGAGGAGGAAAGGTTATTAGCAATCACCGGAGATTTCTGTTTTCGAGGCTTTTTTGGGGGGGAGGTGGGGGAAAATGTTGCTTTAAAAAGTTTGAGAAGTTGAAGTGAAAAAGGAGTCGAGTGAGTCAGTCCTGGAGTGAGTTTCACCTCGGGCACTGAAACGGGTTAAACTGATATTTCCTTTCTCTCCCTCTCTTTTCTTTTGCAAGTGAACTGAGGCGGAGAACGCGTTTGTATGTGTGTGTGTGTGTGTGTGTGTGTGGGTTGG